AAAAAAAAAAAAAAAAAAATTAAGTTTTGTACCTTTTGTTTGCGAGTTTTGTGCCTTAACTGTTCTCCCTCGGGGGAAAGATCTTGATAATCTTGGTTTCACTATAGTTTATGAAAGGGACAACTGGTGTGACCATTTATACAACTAATAAGAACTCCACATGAGACCACAATAGAAAAGTCTATTTTTATTTTTTATCTGGAGAAATGATCTAGTTGATCTGACTTACAATGGCCCTTGTGCTGCCGATGAAGCGTCGTGGAAAACTCTGAAAAACATCTGGAGGGGATCAGCCAGTGCTTCTGGGTTAATACTTAAGTCACATGGTGACCAGCGGCACCCCTGTGGGTACCTTAAACTATCACTTTTTCTTTCTTCCTTCAAGGTACTTCTTCCTCCTTGCCAATAAATGTGAAGTGTGTCTCAGTTTAGGTTTTTTTTTTTTTTAAGTTTTTTCTTCATTTAAGTAATCTCCACACCCAGCGTGGGGCTTGAACTCATGACCCTGAGATCAAGAGTCAGGCACCCTTCCAAGTGAGCCACCCCAGCACTCTGTGTGTCTCAGCTTAAAAACCCCACCTGGTTTCCCTGGAAACTTAGTGTCTAAATTTTTTAAATGAACGTTGAGACCAACGTATGTATCACCTTGAGCTCACAAACGTAAATGAGTGTTAAAGTGCTATCGGAGAGGCAGTGTGGAATGACTTCCTGATCATGCCCTTAACCACAGGTTAAAAGATGGGTTCCCTGTGACCGAGAAATCGGCTCGCTATTTGGTTCTTGGCTACTCATTAATCATCAAAGACGTTGCTGCGGAAGATGCAGGGGATTACACAATCTTGCTGGCCATAAAGCAGTCAAATGTGTTTAAAAACCTTACCACCACCTTAATTGTAAATGGTAAGTTGACCGTTCACGCTTCCTTCTGGTTTCGGGGAGGGGTGAAGGTCAGGAAAACTTGTAAATCAAAAGTCGATATAACAACATCAAGTTAAACCAACTTTTTAAGTAATTATTTTATTTCTTTTTAAATGTTTGTTTATTTTTGAGAGAGAGAAAGAGCGGGGGAGGAGCAGACAGAGGGAGACAGAGGCTTAGAGGCGGGCTCTGTGCGGTCAGTGCGGAGCCCGATGTGGGGCTCAAACTCACCAGCTGTGAAATCATGACCTGAGCTGAAGTCGGATGCTTAACTGACTGAGCCACCCAGGCGCCCCTTTTAAGTAATTATTTTAAAAATCACATATGCCCCCATCAAAACGATTTCATGTCTGCTTGTTATCTTCCATAAGCAATAAATGTTTTTGTTATAACTGTAGTCATGATATCCATACCATGGAATCAATTCTCTACTGTTATCAAAGCGATTCTACTTTAAAAAAAAAAAAATAGCTGTAATGCCAGCAAATATGTGTTTGTTTCCCTGACATCAAAACCAGTGGGAATGTGGTCCTTCAGGCTGTGGCCCGGGAGAAAGTCACCGTACAGCTCTTGACTTCTGTCCTGTTCATCTCCCTTCCAGTGAAACCCCAGATTTATGAAAAGGCCGTGTCGTCCTTTCCAGACCCGACCCTCTACCCCCTGGGCAGCAGACAGACCCTGACTTGTACCATTTATGGTATCCCTCAACCTACAGTCAGGTGGTTCTGGCGTCCCTGTCACCATAATCATTCCAAAGCAAGGTAAGGACAGTTTGTTTCCTGCATAACTTTCAGGTATACCTGTTATACTGAAACTCGCGATTATTATACTTGGACTCGCGATTCTTTAATGGACAGAGATGGAAGTTTGCAAACGGAATACGCAGCCGTATTTGGCGCAAAGACTTTCCCTCCCGTGGGAAAAAGGGGGCACTATCTACTCTTCTTCCTTACTCAGTGCTAACCACGTCATCATTTTTCTCTCTGGTTTGTAGTCTGGGGAGCACAGGGACAGGTTATCTTCGCCTTTTTTGACACTCAGCTTTGAACTCCAGTCTCTTGTTTTCAACCGAGAATCCCTAGACTTTGGCTAATTCAGCTTCTTCGTGTTTTGTGAACGTTGGACGTGATGGGAGACCTTCCCTGCCCTGGTGATCGCTACCCATGCCCTTCCATTCATTTGAAACGCGCTCCCACCCGTTTGCTGCCCCCCCTCCAGAAGTCCTTCCTTATCCCCCAAGGCTCAGCTCGTGTGTCAGCTTCTCTGCCGCGAGCACTCCTAATTGCCGCATTCAGACCCCTTTCTCCCTCTTCAGTATGAACCACACCTCGTACACCATCGTGACTTTGCCAGGCGTGCGTACATGTGTCGCTTCTCTTAACCACGAGCCGGCTGAGAGCTTCTCTGTGTCTTCGGGGCGTGGTGCACGTGGTAGTCGATGCTCACCGTGTATTTGCTGAACGGTACATCCCTCCCTTCTGGTCGTTGTATGGCGTTTCCTTGCATCCTGTTGGTGACAGTCCTGCCTGCCCTTTTCCCATTTTTGTTTAGTCTAGAGGGATGATGCTAAGGACAGTTGGTGGGAGCTGATTTGAAGAACAGGAATAGAATCAATACGTGCAACAAGAAGGTATTATTGAGACTGCCCAAGAATGATCGTCATACCATAATGTTTGTTTGACCCCACTTGAGGAGCGTTGGGGGAAATTGCTATTCAACAAAAACGAAAACAAAAGCAAAATCGGCTTGCTAAAAAAATAAGAAAGACACAATTCTAGCATAAACAGAAGTGGCTGTTTGGTTTTCTAGATTCTTCCTGCAATGTCAGCGTTTCTTCACCATGTGTTTCAATCCTTTGTCTGAGGCCTTGGATTCTGACAGTAAAAGTTAGCTCATGAACTCTAGGGTTCCGAAGAAGTAGCTGTTGCCACACGTCTGATTTCTCATCTGAATATCATTTCAATTTTCTAAGAACAGAAGTACGGAGAAGTTACTAAGCTCGAATATCTTCTTTACCACTGTGGATATTTAGCCCCAAACACAGTGAGATCTACTGAGATTTTGTATGATTTTGCTCATTTAGGGGTAGGCATACCCATTTGTGGATCTATTCCCGTATTTGTGCTAACCTGACGTGCAAATACGTGAAAAATAACTAAGCTATTCAGAGAAAAGTATAAAGTTCAATGTTTGTAGAAAACACAGTTTTTTATAGATGTTTTTAATTTTTGTTTTGATAATAATGAATCTAAAATTTCAGTTCTACTTAGGATAGTCCTAGGAACTCTGAGAAAATAATTGTGTGGGAATATAATAGTATGAAGTTGGGTTTGAATAATGCTGTTAAAATGTGGTTTGGGGAGGGTGCCTGAATGACTCAGTCGGTGAAGCGTCAGACTCTCGATTTCGGCTCAGGTCATGATCTCACGGTTCATGAGTTTGAGCCCCACGTTGGGCTCTGCACTGGCACTGTGGAGTTTGCTTGGGATTCTCTTTCTCTCTCCCTCTCTCTCTCCTCAGCTTGTGTTCTCACTCTCCCTCCCTCTCTCTCTCTCTCTCTCAAATAAACTTAAAAAAAAGATTTAAAATAGGGTTTGGGGAATGAGGTCAACCAAAGTAAAACTATGGAGACATTAACTCTCTTGCTGTCTTTTTCCGATTTCTTCGGTGGTACCTGAACTCCTTCTCCCGTGTTACTTACAGAGTAAGTTTACTGAGCTCTGTCTCCTCCTGGACTACTCTCAAGTATCAGAGAGTGCCTCAACTCTTCAGTAGATGTTTGTTGACCATTTGACTTATTCTCCGTTTGAGACATTTTTTAAACCAATCACAGACAGATCAGAAACGAAAGCTTTAACTTTTTCAGTGATGCTTCATTTATAAAAAAATATGTTGTTGCTTGAAATTATCTGCTACAAAATGTGCATATCCATCAGAAGTTCTCTCTTTTTTTTTTTTTTTTTTTTTTTTTTTTTTTCTTCAGTCAACAGACCGAGTAGCTTACCTGTGTCGGGCCCAGATTGGGCGTTTGTTGGTTAAAACAGAACATTTAACTTAGAAATAGTTCAGAAAGATATATGGGAGTTATGTGCACTAGGACACAAATAGAATAATTCTACTTCACACTGTCAGACAGAAGCTAAAATTGGCAGATAGATACATGGATCTTTCTTTAATTACTAGAAGTTTGAAATACGTTTTTAATTTTTTTTAACGTTTATTTATTTTTGAGACAGAGAGAGACAGAGCATGAACGGGGGAGGGTCAGAGAGAGAGGGAGACACAGAATCCGAAGCAGGCTCCAGGCTCCGAGCTGTCGGCACAGAGCCTGACGCGGGGCTCGAACTCACGGACCGCGAGATCGTGACCTGAGCCGAAGTCGGACGCTTAACCGACTGAGCCACCCAGGCGCCCCATGAAATATGTTTTTATATAAATGTATTTTGGGTACCTGACACCTAGATTCCGTTGTAGATAGGAATTTTAGTTAGTGACATTTGAATAAAGGGCGTTCAATTGCATGAATTTTTAGAATCTTATTTTGAGTTACATAGTAACATATTTGCATGGTGGCATCTATGCGTGGCCGTCAAGAGATTAGGTGATTGATATGCACATTACTCTTGACTATATAGGATAATTCTTGGTATTTAAATTTTAGGCTCTAGGTAAAGGACATGTCTGCGTATGGACACAACCAAAGCGTGAGTTTAGTTTTGAGGTTTGAATGTGTTTTAAGGAGCTTCAACTTCTTAATTGGGTTGATATGGCCGACTGGCTCATGTATCTAAGTTAGAGAGGTTCAGACTTAAATTGTATAGTTTTCCTGGAGCCCAATAAATACATAAATGTATTTTAAAACTTTCAGAACTATGGCTCAGCTAATTCATCTTTGTTGAAATTAAGAACCATAAATAAAATGCACAGAAATTTCTTCTTTTTTTTTTTAAATGTGATCCACTGCTGAGCCGTGTTTTAGCTATGCTTTTGATTCACCTCAAGTTAGTTGTTAGAAAACGTTAGGAATAAAAGAAAGGAGGAAAAGGGTGGTTGGGTCCTTTTTGACTCAGATTCCTAACGAGCTGAGAGGAAATAGCAGAATCTTTTCCCCTTTTACTCTTCGGCACATTCGGAGGCTAAGATAGTAGAACTGGAACATTTCTTTTGAATTAAAAATAAATTTTTTTTAGTGTTGGTGTATTTTTGAGACAGAGACCGAGCACGGGTGGGGGAGGGGCAGAGAGAGAGGGAGACACAGAATCCGAAGCGGGCTCCAGGCTCCCAGCTGTCGGCACAGAGCTTGACGCGGGGCTCGGACCCATGAACCGTGAGATCATGACCGGAAGTCGGACGCTTAACCCACTGAGCCGCTCCAGGGCGCTCCTCTTTTGAATTTTTTTTTTTTTAATTTTTTTTTTTCAACGTTTATTTATTTTTGGGACAGAGAGAGACAGAGCGTGAACGGGGGAGGGGCAGAGAGAGAGGGAGACACAGAATCGGAAACAGGCTCCAGGCTCCGAGCCATCAGCCCAGAGCCTGACGCGGGGCTCGAACCCACGGACCGCGAGATCGTGACCTGGCTGAAGTCGGACGCTTAACCGACTGCGCCACCCAGGCGCCCCCCTCTTTTGAATTTTTAATAGCATTAAAATAACTGGTGAATACCAGATGAAGTGGAATTTTGGATTCCTTCTTATCCTCAGCAACTGGCAGAGACTTCTAAGCGGATATTCGTAAACTTGTCCCTTGTTTGTGTGGGCATCACCTAGGGAGTGTGCACCGGGGTGTTAAGCTTACGGCACCTTTCACATGTGTGTAGTTTATAGCCTCTGTTCATACAAAATACAGATAAATTACACACGCTTCACAGAGACACGATGAGGATCAAGTGAGAGAACGTGTTTGGGAAAAGGTACAGAGTGTCCTAGGAAGGCAAGGTTGTGATTACCGCTAGCAGTGGGGTAAAATTCTCTAAACAAGCCTCCAAACTTTTAAGGAACTTGAGAAGAATTTTCTGCCCACTTATAGAGCTAGTTTCCCAACAGTGACCATTTCTAACCCAACGCTTCCGAGAAGGGAACCCAAGTCTTGGACAGTAAAATGTGACTTTTCCTGTGCTTGAGCAATGGAAAAGTAGTAGATCTGGGCTGTAGAATTGAGGAAAACGGAACGTGATTTTTTCTCAGAAGAAAAATGAAGGACATACAGACGAGTTCGGTCACAGTAAAAGCACACAAAACTGTGCCGTGGGGGAAGTGAAGTAACCGTCCCAGCCTGTGGCCTGTCTCGCTCACTCGTTTCGGTCATGGAGGGAAGTGATCCTGACCTGTGGGTTGGCGAAGGCCAGGGTGGGGCAGAGTAGGATGTGGGAGAGCTGACTCCTCCTCGGCGAGCCCGTGATAGATTCTAGAACTTCACCTCCCCCCCTGGATTTTGAAGAACTAAGTAGGACTCCTGACCCGCCCATGCGATGGGCTGGTCTGGCTTGTGTGGTCCTTCGCCACATGCCGCCCTGGGACTAGTTTGGACGAGGTTGCCTGCTGTGTGGAGGTTGGTCTGTCAAGGGACGAGTAACAGTCTTGGGCTGGAGGGAAGGGAACCCTCTTTGGGAAGCGGAAGAGATGGATTTAGGGGGCCCAGGAGGAAACAAGGAACAGACAGGACAGCCTTGGTGTGATGTCGGTACTGCAGATCAACCGGTTACATTTTCGCAGGAGGAGTCTGACATGTTGCAAGACGGCTTTTATTCGCACGTGCTTGA